CAGACTGCAGGAGCGGCATAGCGCGCGAGTCTCAAACTGGCCCCAGCGTCGCCACGAGAACGGCGCACATCGCAGGAGGACCTGCCCATAGCAGTTGGTGGTTGCAACGTTGGAGCCGTGATCTCGCGCTGGATTTCGCCGGGCGAACGCGCGCGCATGCTCCCGCGCGCTCAGGCAGCCACACGCGGCTCTGGAATGGCGCGCGCGCGCGCCCGATGGGGCCGCGCCAGATAGACTCGACCCCAGAGGCCCTCCCTGTCGGGGGGCATCCCCCTGAACACCCAGAGTGCACCCAGTGGGCCACCGTCGGATGTCCTGGTGAAGCTCAACATCGGTGACCTCGTGGAGCCAAACGGTGACCCCAACGGCGCCCCTAACAACGATCCCCCACGGTGACCCCCATCGGTGGCCCCCCGGGGCAGTGGCACCCATGCCGCGGATCATCGACCTCAGGGCGACGGGCGGCATGCGCCAACATCCGCACAAGGTGTTCGAAGCCACCCGTTCGTGTTCCGGGAAACCATGTGGAATCGGCAGTGGTTCAGTACGTGCCCGAATCGGTGCCCGAATGAAATCGATCATGTGCCCGAGTGACAACGATAATGTTCCCGAGTGGCACTGCAATGGGAACGACTACGTGCCCGAGTGAAAACGGCAATGTGCCCAAATGGGACTGTAATGGACATGATTCTGTGACCGAGTGGGCAATCTGTTCCCGAGCGGAAACCATTCTGTGACCGAGTGGAAACGATGATGTGCCCGAGTGGAGAACAAAGCAAAACCGCATGGGACGTCCTCCGTGCCGCGACCGACTCGGGCACACCAAGACGACCGGATTGATTCGGGCATCGATTCGGGCACCCGTCGGGGGTGGCCCCCACGTCTGGCCCATTTGTTTGGGCACCATTCGGGCGCGGCCGTGCGAAACGCAGGCTGACGGCGGGCGCGTCGGGGAGTCGGTCGCGCGAGCGGCCAATTCGGGCACGCTGTGGCGGTGGCGACGGTTCGGGGATGGACAGAACCCCCTTTAGCAAAACGTGGTTTAGTGAAAACGACCTCGGGCCCAAATCTGGCGGGCGAAAGCCTGGAAACTGACGGCCACGGCGCCCTCTCGAAAACCGAAAACGGACAATTCACTAATCGACGTGTCACTATTGGGGGTTCTGTCCAGCCCCGAAAGGTAGTGGTGGGGATCGGGGCAGTGGTGGCGGCGCGGGAAGCTCTCGCGCCTTCCCCGCGACGCGCGTGCTGTCACCATTGGAGGCCGCGCCAGGCACGTTGGCGCGCGAAGCACGCCAGGTGCCCAGCGCGCCGCGTATGCCAAATACACCAATTGCTCGAAGCACGCCATGTGCTGCTCCAGCCACGCCAAGTCGGGGATGGACAGACCCCCCTTTAGCAAAACGTGGTTTAGTGAAAACGACCTGAGGCCCAAACCTGGCGGGCGAAATCCTGGAAAATAACGGCCACGGCGCCTTCTCGAGAACCGAAAACGGACAATTCACTAATCGACGTGTCACTGTTGGGGGTTCTGTCCAGCCCCGACCAAGGCCACTGGCCCCAGGAGTGGCAGGCGCGCCATGCGCGCAGCTGCGCAGGGCGCGGGAAAGGCCCAACGCCCCGCAAATAACTGGCCAAACCATGGCCAAGACACTCTCGCGGCCCCGAAAGCCACCACGAACCATCCGTCAATACCTAGATACGTCATGAAACGTCAGTGCATCGAAGCTCCATTTCCAGCGCTATTGAAGAGAACAGCAAAAATGCAGCGTCGAGGACGACAGCCAGCGGGACACTGCACCCTGCACCACTCACAGCTCACGTACTGATCCAGACCGCACGCACGCCGCACCACGCGAACATATCCCCTGAAGGTCGCTAAAATCCGCGTCGCGAGCAGCGCCATGCTTCGAAACAACATATCATTCGCACACGCCCTGTTCGGGACTTGGGTTAGGTCGGGCCTGTCCCCCTCCAGGCGGATTTTAGGCGAAAAATTACAGATACTCTGAACATACCCCCAAGATAATCAGACAATGCTCAGAAATCCTCCCCAGACTATTTTCTTAAAACTATTTTGGAAATTCCTCCGGTAGAGGGACAAGCCCGACTTAGACTTGGGCCCGTGCGCTCACGACCTCCCGGCTGCGCCTCGCCGAGATCGCCCCCGGGGGGGTTATCCGGATCGCCCCACGGCCGCCAGAGGCCGGAGCTGACCTGATCGGACCACCAGGGACCGGCTCACGGGGGGGGGGGAAGCATCGAGCTGGAATCGGCGATGCATCGCCAATAGATCGGTTCTAGGCGGTTCGAAATCGAAGTCGATATCGAAATCGCACGGTATCGACTGAACGATTCTTGAGACATACTTAAACAGATCCCTTATCAAAAAATAGGATCGCTCCCTATGAAAAATACTAACCCTTATCGTCCCCTCTTTATCGGTATCGAACAAATCGGATAATAAGCCCCCGATATCTGAATCGCACGGTGCGAAGCGGGGTGCGGCCATCGGACCACCTATCGGCGATCAGTGGGCGACTGGGGGGCCGACCTGTTCCACCCCTGAGCCTATCCCTTGAGCAGGGCTGGGGGTCAGGTCTGCAAACACCTCAAACGGACGTCAAGGGGCGCAATCAACCTGTTCGGTCACGCTGAAATTGATGCACCACACCGGGCGTCACGCCAAAACTTTGGACATAAGCGAACGGTTGGACTTTGCACATCTTCGTCGGTTTAACGGGCGAGGCGTTTGACCATCTTGACGTCCTTTTTTTGGTGGTCCTGCAGAGGAAGGCGCTCTCTAGCCCTCGGCCCTACTCAACCTATCCCCCCCGAACGTTGCCCCTGACCTCTTCGCGACATCTGCGAACGCGGGGGACACGACGAAGGGGTGCATCCGCGCCCCGAACGCAAAGAGGAACCCCTGATGGAGGGAACGAAACCGAGGACCATTACCAATGCCGAGCGCGGAAACGTCGGTGCCGATCTTAGTCACCGTCCATCTTGGCCACCGTCGCTGCGAAGACCACCCTCGCGAATCGGCGACGGCCGGCATGGACCATGACCAAGACCGGCGTCGATAAGATCCCGCAACATCTTGGTCATGGTCAGTGTTTTTTTTTTTTTTTTTTTTTTTTTTGGTCATGGTCAGTGTGTTCCTTCCCTCGACCTGAGCCCGCGGGTAGCACTGGCCCTTCGCGAGCCCACCGCGGGCGTTGAGGTCGTCGAGGTGGGGCAGGATCCACTCCATGCCCGGGCTCGTGTTGAGCGTGAACGCGACCCTGCTGCCGTGTCTGTCGGCGACCTCCGTCATCCACCTAGGGCTGCGCGGGCACCCTCTGCTCACATCCTCGTCCCCCGGATGCTGCTGCTGCTGCTGCTGCTTCCACCCCTCGCACTGGCCTCCATCCTGCCTCGCGCTGCGTCGCTCCCCGTCGCTCTCGTCCTCCCCTCCTCCACTTCTCCCTCTCCCCTCTGGCCGTTCGAGGACAGGTGAAAATTTACTGTGTAAGCGTGCCTCCCTCCGTTTCCTTCTGATCCCCTCCTCCTCCTCCTCCTCCTTCTCCTCCTTCTCCTCCTCCTCCTCCTGCTCCTCTACCTCTTCCTTCCCATCTTCTCCTCCTGACGCAGTTGCCCTCGATCTCGCCGATGCAGAAACGGTGAGATGACCCTTGGCGATTGTGAATTTTCTTTGTGGACCGTCGTTGTTCTGCCTCTCCGCCCGTGTTAAACCGAGTCTGTGACGCCTTTGCCTAGCACGGTCTTGGGGTCAAGCGCGTTGCCAAAATCCTGAGCGCGACGCTTGGCTCAGACGTGTTCGAGTAGATGTCTCTTCCATGGCGTCTATACTCTATACCATCTGGCGTGCACCCCCCGGCCCATGTTCTGATTCCGGGTCCAGGGATTTGTCTGGGACAGTCTTGGTGGTCTGGCGCGTTCGAGTCGATCCGTCTTCCCAAGCAACCACGCGGTCTGGCTCTCGCCTCACGCCACCAACTCATAGGAACGGCATTTTGAAACAACATTGGCTCCTGGCCGCGTGGGCGGAGACAGGCCTGAGAGCCTGCTTCACCTGCCTTGCCTGCTGGCTGTGTGGAAGTACGGGAGCCGCAGCGTTCATAGACCTCACTGGATCGATCGTCCATGCCATGCGCGGCATGCACTTTTTGGTCGAGCTATATATATATATATATATATATATATAGCGAGTGTTCACTCTGCCCATCACGCCTCTTAGCTCACCATCCACGTCCCCATCCCGTTTGATCGACATGGCATGCCTGAATTTGGAGTCCCGGAACGGTGCGGTGACAGACCGTGCGGTGACCTCGAAATCCCCCAAGACCTCACCGCAAGGCCCGTCAGCGCACGGTTTTGGGACCTCGGAGGCCCCAGTCGCCCGAGACGTCCTCGGAGAACGGCCCGAGTCGGTGGCCCCGAATCCCCACTGCCTCACCCGTTTGGGGGCCCCCGGCTGAACCCGTTCGGCTAATCCCTCCCGGGGCGAGCGGCGCAAAGGCAAGCCCTGAAAATCAGAATCAAGCAAGCCTTTCCCCTCTTGGTCCACATGAGATTTCTGTTCTCATGGAGTTCACCTTGGGACACCTGCGTTATCACTTAACTCGTCACCCACACGCGCAAGCTGTGCGGCCGAGAGCAGCAGCGCCGCGGTCGCCAAACCGCGCCCACACCACGGACGGGCGGGCGGGCGGCGGCAGACGGCGGGAGCTGCGGGCGGGGGCGCACGCACGACTCCTGCTCTCCCTCCCCCCTCTCCGCCTCCCCCCTCCATGCTCCTCGCTGCGCGTTCTCTCCGCCTACATACTCTCCCTTCTCTCTGCTCCCTGCCCACCGCTCCCCCAACCCACCCCTCCCTGTTTACCCCCCCCCCATCCTTCTCCGCCCTCCCTCACCGCCTCCTTTTTCCTCCCACTCCCCCTTTCCTAATCTCTCTGTCTCCTCCGCTTCCCTGCTCACCTTCGCCCCCCTCCTCTTCCTCCTCCCTCTCCTCCTCCTCCTTCTCCATTCCTTTTCCTTATAAATAACTTCTCCCTGTCGCGCCCCGAGGCTGGTCGAAAAGGCGGGGCCGGGCGTTTCGCCTGAGACTTCCTCACCATGCATGACCCTGAAGCTTAAACATTGATAACAGTTTCACAGATGGAGGCTCTCGCCTTCAAAAGGTGGGTCGTTTTCAAAATGTGGCTCTCGCCTTTGCGCCGCGTGCTTTCTTTTCAAAACATCGCACGGAGGGCGGGTCGTTTTCAAAAGTGCCGCGCACATTCGTTTTAGAGAAACACCCAGATCAGTGGATGGTTTGACAATTTGTGATATGGATATTGAAATCTTTTGTGAGAATGCACTCGATAGTGAGGATGGTTGTAGGGTCGATCGTGAGGCATGAGCTGGTTTCGCCGGCGCTGGTTTCGCCCCACTGGTTTCGCCGACGGCTGCTTTCGCCGGCGCTGGTTTCGCCGGCGCTGGTTTCGCCGCACTGGTTTCGCCCCGCTGGTTTCGCCAGCGGCTGGTTTCTCCGGCGCTGGTTTCGCCGGCGCTGGTTTTGCCGACGCCGTCGTCGTCGTCGTCGTCGTCGTCGTCGTCGTCGTCGTCGTCGTCGTCCTCGTCGTCGTCGTCGTCATCGGGCGTCGGATCCGAGCGGACGGCGGACGGGTCGGGTCGGGCGGGCGAACCCAAGCGGGCGGGGCGGGTCGGGTCGGGCGGGCGGACCCTAACGGGCGGGTCGGGTCGGGCGGGCGGGACATTGAAGTGTGGAGCACGCTCGGCCGACGGCAGCTGGCTTGCAGCTGGTCTCGCCGACGGCAGCTGGTTTCGCCGACGGAAGCCGGTTTCGCCGACGGTAACTGGTTTTCCGGGCGGAGAATCCAGCCGGGCGAAGCCAGCCGGGCGAAACCAGCCGTCGGCGAAACCAGCGGTTGCCGATCGTGAGACCGATAGTGAAGTCGATTCAATGAGATCGATAATGCGATCGATCGTGAGATCGCTCGTGCGATCGCTCGTGCGATCGATAGTGAGATCGATTGTGAGATCGATAATGTGATCGATTGCGAGATCGATCGAGAGATCGATAGAAAAGTGGGTAATGTGATCGATGGTGAGACCGATCGATAAAAAGATCGACCAAGAACCCCAGAACCCGGGAAACCCGCCGCCCACCGAAATCGGCCCGGAACCCAGACCCGGGTAACCGGGAACCCGGAACCAGGAACCCGGGACCCCGGCCGCCTACCGAAATCGGCCCAGAACTTTCTCCAAATCCTTCAATCTCTGCTAGGACCCCTTCAGTGCAAACACTGGTTGGGGAAAACATTGCAAGAGTTTCACGGATTGAAGGCGGCTTCTTTGTCAAAATGTGGCTCTCGCCTTAGCACCGCGCACATGTGTAAAACATGGCAAGAGTTTCACGGATTGAGGGCGGCTCCTCTTCAAAATGTGGCTCTCATCTTAGCGCCGCACACATTCGTTTTTGGTTTATAACACACTTGCAAGAGCTTCACGGTGGTTTGGAAAAATGCAGGATTATGCGGGTGCAACAGATACGTTGATTCGCGGTGTTGAAGTCCCATGAATGGCGCACTTGCGCGATTTAGGATCGTCAAGAACCAACAGTCAGGTTGATCCGTGGCGTTGGAGTCCCGAGAATAATGGTTTGGCATGATTCAGGGTCTTCAAGCGGCTGTCTTCCAACGAGGGAGTTCCCTCAGTGGAAGCGAACCCTTGTAGGGGCCTATGAAGAGGGAGCTTGGAGGGAGAGTTTATGCCAACATCGTTGATGACTCTTGGGTTTACACTGGTCCTCCTCCTCCTCCTCCTCCTCCTCCTCCTCCTCCTCGTCCTCCTCCCAACTCTCCGTCCTCACCACGTCAACCTCCTCCTCCTCCTCCTCCTCCTCCTCCTCCTCCCCCCTCCTCCTCCTCCTCCTCCTCCTCCTCCCTCCCTCCCTCCCTCTCCTCCCTCCCTCCTCCCTCCCTCCCTCCCTCCCTCCCTCCCTCCCCCTCCCTCCCTCCCTCCCTCCCTCCCTCCCTCCCTCCCTCCCTCCCTCCCTCCTCCCTCATTCCCCTCATCATCCTGACTCCTCCGAGACTCCTCCTCGCTGTTCATCCACTCCTCCTCCCCCTGTTCCTACTCACTCCTCCTGCTCCTCTTAGCTGGGGGGCGTTGTCCAATGAGGTATCCCGCCTACTCCTCCTCCTTCCCCCCCCCACTTCCCCTCCTTCTCTTGGCTCCTGGCTCCCAACTCCTCCTCCTCCTCCTGCTCCTCCCTCCCTCCCTCCCTCCCTCCCTCCTCCTCCTCCGCCCCCTCCCTTTCGTCGCGGCGCTATCCCTGCCGACCTCAGCTCGCGGAGCCTGTAGTCCTGAAGCCTGGCCTGGTCTGCCCGCGCGTAGGCACCGAAGTCGTCGTACAGCGCGAAGTCGTTCGACATCTCGAACGCCCCCCCGCCGCCCTCGGGGGAACGAGCACACCCAGACGTGCGCATGCCGTGGGGTTAAAACACGCCGACGTGTTTTGCTGCCGTTGTCGACTTCCGGGGACACCATTTGTTGTTGTCCGTGCAGGCGCCCTTGATCCGGTCGCCTTGTGTGCCATACGCACAACGCAGTCTCTAGTGCCAGCAGTTCCATCTCAAACGAAGACATCGCATTCGCCTTATGCATATGCATGCAACCGACCATACTCCGTCTGAAGTGCCCTTCCTCCCAACAGCAAGCGAGACGTTACTCGGGGGCCCTCAAACAGGGTGATGACCACACCGTGCGGTGAGTCGGTGGGGATTCGGGGTCACCGCACGGTTTTGGGACTCGGGTCGTTCTCCGAGGACGTCTCGGGCGACTGGCGCCTCCGAGGTCCCAAGACCGTGCGGTGACGGACCGTGCGGTGAGGTCTTGGGGGATTTCGAGGTCACCGCACGGTCTGTCACCGCACCGTTCCGGGACTCCAAAGACGTTGTGCTCCCAGTAGTAAGCGAGACGTTGTATCCCCGGGACCCCCCCCCACCACACACACACACACAGAACAACGGGGCACCGCGGGCTCGAGAAGGCGCAGCCTCGAGCGAGCGGCACGCGGGGCTCCTCGGGCCGAAAGGCTGCTGCGCAGGGGCAGGGGCGCTCCCCACGACCCCCCCCCCCTCCAGCTTAGGAGCCCTGCGCCTATAGCCTGCAATCATAGCCATCAGGCCGGCAGGCTGCTGAACAGGGTCAGGGGTGCTACCCCCCCCTCCAGCTCAGGAGCCCTGCGCCTATAGCCTGCAAGCAGAACCATCAGGCCGAAAGGCTGCTGAACAGGGTCCAGGGTGCTCCCCCCCCCTCCTCCAGCTTGGGAGCCCTGCGCCTCTAGCCTAGCCTGTGCAACAGCAAACTCCACGATTCGTAAAATCGCAGGAGTGCGATCCGAAACTCTGCTGCCGCAGGGAGCGCAGCCCGAGCAGCGGCGGGGCAGCTCTGGCCACGGCAAGGCCCGGGCACGAGCAGGCCCAGACCTGCGGAGACCGGCCCGGAGACCGGGGGCCCCTCCCGAGCCCCCCCCCGAAGGCGGCCGCGCGCCTCGGCGGCACACCGCACGAGGGCCGAGCAGGTGGGCCCGGGGCAGGGGGCGGGTGGCGCCACCGAGGCACGAGCAGCCTGCGCCGCCGCGGGCCGGGGACGGGTGTCCGGGCGGCACGGCGGTCCGAAGGGTGCCCGAGGGGCAGCTGTGTTCGCGCTTCGCGCGGCGCGGAACGCGAGCAGCTTCGCACTCTCGAGCCGCCCCCATGGGGGCGAAGAGGAGGACGAGCTGGCTTGCTCTCGCTCATTCGGCCTAGGATGCAATGAGCGGAAAGCGTTTGCATGAACCTGGGGGGGGGATACACGATCTGTTGCGTTGGAGTCCTCTGCTTCGCAGCTCCGATTAGAGCATCGTGCATTCGATGAGCTGCAGACGACAATGCAGCTAAGGGGTAGGAGGACGAGGATACACGTCGGTCGGAAGAAGTAGGTAAAAGCATGAAGTAGGAAGGCGGATACAGTGGATTGGGTCCAGGCCCTCCCAGAGAATAACAGAACACAGCGAACTCATGCCGATTCTTGAAGTAGGAAGGCGCTTGAAGCAGATTGGGATCTGGGGATCCAACAATACCTACAGTCGGGGCCCTGAAGAAGGAACCCTTTTCGTTGGGGAGGGGCTCCGTGTTCCTGAATTGTTTCGCAGGTTGCCCTGGATTTTCTCTAGGCTTTCGACACGACATCGAAGTTCAACTTATGGAAAATAAGGGGCCCCGTTCCTTATTTGGGGTTCCTTAGGTCAACGCCTCGACTGTACTTTCAGCGACCAGCGTGCAGGGACGAAGAGAGCCGCCCATGGCGAGCCGCACGCCGCGAACAGCCTCCCCTGGAGAGAGGGCAGCCCCGAGGCGCCCCCCGCGCGGGCCACGAGGCGCCCGGGCCCGAGGGGGGGGGGGGGGGGGGGGGGCGAGCCTCTGCACCTCGCCAGAGACCTCGCAGCCGAGGCAGTGCTCCCGCCCTCTGGAGAGGGGGGGGGGAGGGCCCTCCTCCTCCCTCCCTAAGGAAGGGAGGACGGCACGGAGGGAGGAAGGAAGGAGGAAGGAAGGGCCTTCCTCCCTCCCTCCCTGGGGCGCAGCTCGCAGTCCCCCCCCCCCCCCCGGATGGCGAGATCTGGTATGAACTCCCGCATGACGTTACGGTGCTGTCCCCCCCCCACCCACCGCCGCCGTCAAAAGTGGCGACAGTCTCGCCGCTCGCAGCCCCGCAGGGATGGCGAGGTCCACTCTGGATCCCCGCAGGGCGGGGGAAGAGGCAGGGGAGGGAAGCAAGGGGAGGATGGCGGTGCACGCTCTGGGTGGTGGGGCGAGGGGGTGGCCTGATGTTAAGTCGGGCCTGTCCCCTCTACAGGGGGATTTTGGACGAACATAAAAATTATCCTGGCGAAGGACCCAACCATATGCAATTGTGAATACTGCAATTGTGAAGATCTTCTCGGTGGAGCCCCCTACGGGGCCACGAAACGTACGAGGGGTGTGCCGAAATGGGTGTGCGGGACGCATGCGGGCACACCCACTGGGGCCTTCGGTGGAGCTCCCTATGGGGCCACGAAACGTGTGAGGGGTGTGCCGAAATGGGTGTGCGGGACGAATGCGGGCACACCCACTGGGACCTTCGGCGGAGCTCCCTATGGGGCCACGGAACGCGTGAGGGGCGTGCCGAAATGGATGTGGCTGACGCATGCGGGCGCGGGCACTGGGGCCTTCGGCGGAGCTCCCTATGGGGCCACGAAGCGTGTGAGGGGTGTGCCGAAATGGGTGTGGCTGACGCATGCGGGCGCGGGCACTGGGGCCTTCGGTGGAGCTCCCTATGGAGCCACGAAACGTGTGAGGGGTGTGCCGAAATGGGTGTGGGTGACGCATGCGGGCGCGGGCACTGGGGCCTTCGGTGGAGCTCCCTATGGAGCCACGAAACGTGTGAGGGGTGTGCCGAAATGGGTGTGGGTGACGCATGCGGGCGCGGGCACTGGGGCCTTCGGTGGAGCTCCCTATGGGCCACGAAACGTGTGAGGGGTGTGCCGAAATGGGTGTGGGTGACGCATGCGGGCGCGGGCACTGGGGCCTTCGGTGGAGCTCCCTATGGAGCCACGAAACGTGTGAGGGGTGTGCCGAAATGGGTGTGGGTGACGCATGCGGGCGCGGGCACTGGGGCCTTCGGTGGAGCTCCCTATGGAGCCACGAAACGTGTGAGGGGTGTGCCGAAATGGGTGTGGGTGACGCATGCGGGCGCGGGCACTGGGGCCTTCGGTGGAGCTCCCTATGGAGCCACGAAGCGTGTGAGGGGTGTGCCGAAATGGGTGTGGGTGACGCATGCGGGCGCGGGCACTGGGGCCTTCGGTGGAGCTCCCTATGGAGCCACGAAACGTGTGAGGGGTGTGCCGAAATGGGTGTGGGTGACGCATGCGGGCGCGGGCACTGGGGCCTTCGGTGGAGCTCCCTATGGAGCCACGAAACGTGTGAGGGGTGTGCCGAAATGGGTGTGGGTGACGCATGCGGGCGCGGGCACTGGGGCCTTCGGTGGAGCTCCCTATGGAGCCACGAAACGTGTGAGGGGTGTGCCGAAATGGGTGTGGGTGACGCATGCGGGCGCGGGCACTGGGGCCTTCGGTGGAGCTCCCTATGGAGCCACGAAACGTGTGAGGGGTGTGCCGAATGGGTGTGGGTGACGCATGCGGGCGCGGGCACTGGGGCCTTCGGTGGAGCTCCCCATGCAGCCACGAAACGTGTGAGGGGTTTGCCGAAATGGGTGTGGGTGACGCATGCGGGCGCGGGCACTGGGGCCTTCGGTGGAGCTCCCCATGGAGCCACGAAACGTGTGAGGGTGTGCCGAAATGGGTGGGTGACGCATGCGGGCGCGGGCACTGGGGCCTTCGGTGGAGCTCCCTATGGAGCCACGAAGCGTGTGAGGGGTGTGCCGAAATGGGTGTGGCTGACGCATGCGGGCGCGGGCACGAGGGAGGAGGGGGGAGAGGAGGCGGAGGAGGAGAGGAGGAGGAGGAGACGCGGGGCACCGTCTCTTCAAAACGAGGACCCAACACCACAGGATGGTTGGGAAATACTCAAGGAATGCTCAAAAGATAAACCAAAATACTCAAAACATAGTCTCCATGCTATTTTTTGACTATTCTTGAACATTCCCCCTGTAGAGGGACAGGCCCGACTTAAGCCTGATGAGGCGGTGGGGGCTTCGTGAAACCGTCCGATCCCCCTCCGCTCCCCTCAGAGAGGCCCCACAGCCCACAGTGTTAAGTCGGGCGTGCCCCCTACAGGGGGATTTTGGAAGAAGAAATAAAAATACTCGAACCCCCCCCCCCCACGAAATGCTAACAACAAATCGTCCCCAGACATTTTTTTGACTATTTTGGAATATTCCTCCTGTAGAGGGACATGCCCGACTTAACCACAGTGCCTCCTGAGAAGGCCGCCGCCCAGCGATTCGGCTCTTCGGGTTCAGCCCAGGCGTGCACGCTGCTGCATGCGCACGGCCTCCTGGCGGGGCCCCTGGGGGGGCAAAAGGCCGCGGAGGGGCAGCGCCGCCGACTGCTCCCGAATGCCGCCGCCTCCTCCCACTCCTCCTCCTCCTCCTCCTCCTCCTCCTCCTCCTCCTCCTCCTCCTCCTCCTCCTCCTCCTCCTCCTCCTCCTCCTCCTCCTCCTCCCCGTTATCCTCCGTCGCCTCCGTCTCCTGGTCCTTCTCCTCCTCTTCCTCCTCCTCCTCCTCCTTCTCCTCCTCCTCCTCCTCCTCCTCCCCGTTCTCCTCCGTCGCCTCCGTCTCCTGTTCCTTCTCCTCCTCTTCCTCCTCCTCCTGGGGAGGGCGACGCGAGAAAGCGATGACCGCCTCTGCGATCGCGTCACAGATGGCGAGCAGCTCGGCGGAGCCCGCCAGCGACCCCGGGGTCAGGAACCCGCTGGGGTCCCGGTGGATGAGCAGGCGGGAGGTGGAGAACCTGCGGGAAGCAGGACGAGGCGGGGGAGGCCGAGCAGGAGGAGAAGGAACGTGGAAAAGGTGTTGCTGCTCTTCTTCATCTTCTTATTATCCTTGTTATTATCACATGTCTTCTTATTTTCCTCTTCTTATTATTACAATCATTATTATCCTTCCTCGTCATCTTCCTCTCCCTCTCCCTCTCCCTGCTCCTCCTCCTCCTCCTCCGCCACCGTCGTCGCCGTGCCCGTTCCTCTCTGCCTCGCCCCGATTCCCCCTTGGCCTCGCCCTCCTACCTTCCCAGACCCCCGACGCTGCGATTCTGCTTCGAATGCGTGGACCCCCGAGGCTCTTCGTCCCGGGCCATTCTTACCAACGGTCACGGGGCCTGGTGATGGGGAGACCGCAAGGCACCGATACCGCTACTCCCCGGACCTCTCCCGGGGCGCGTTCTGGCCAGGACTTCGAGGCGAATCCCGCGGTGGCGACGAGGGAGGCCCAGGAGGCCCAACGAGGTGGGAAAAACGGGCGAAGGGTGGAGGCATGGATGCCTTATCCTCCTCCGAGGTGAGGGCCCCCCCGCCGGCCGAACACCGCCGAACGCCTCCCGCCGTGCGCTTCTGTCTCACGACCGCGCGGATGCCTGGGCCCGTCCTCGCCTGGCCGCCTCGCCCCCCTCGAGCAGGGCCACCGCCAGCACCAGAGCAGGAGGAGCAGGAGCGAGAGGAGCGAAGGCAGGAGTCGGGGGGAACCCAACATGTCCCACGACATCTTCTTAGACCCCAACAGTGTCCCCAGAACACAAAAGATGTTCTTAGAACGTATCCCCGATGTGATCAAGCAAGGCAGACTCCGCCAGGAATGTGCTAATAACATTTCATGCAAACCACAAAAGGTTCTTAGAACATTGTTTGGTAGGCCTATGGCCTATAGGCGGGCGGGGCGAAAGGGGGGGAAAGGGCAGGGTAGAGGAGCAGCTCACGACGCTGATTTTCCCAACGCCCCCCGGCACCGGGAGGCGCCCGTGTGTCGAGGAATGCGGCCGCGGGGCCGAAACCAGCTGCATGCAGCAGACCTCCCCCCTCTCCCCATCCCCCCCTTTCGTCCGGCCCGAAAGTGGCACACGGGCACACAGGGGAGGGATGGCTCCCGGGGAGGCGGCAGCCGCAGGCGGAGAGCCGAGCGGAGGAGTGCCGATGCGAGCAGCTACGACGAGGAGGGCGACGACCAGACGCGAGGCGGGCCGAGGAGGACGAGGAGGCCGAGACCGCCGCGCCCCGGACCCAGACCGACGCGAGCAGCTACGAATGCGAGCAGCGACGACGAGGAGGACGACGGCCAGACGCGAGGCGGGCCGAGGAGGACGAGGAGGACGAGGCCGCCGCTCCCACCCAGGCCGGGGCGCCGCCTGCCCGGGGTCCCGCGGCGGCTCCAGCGCGCGGCGACGAGGGCCCCAGGCAGAAGCGAGCGTGGTGAAGGGGGGGGCAGCGGTGTGGGCGCCCAGAGGGTCGCGAAGCTCGAGGTGCAGTATCGGCTCAAGATGACTTCCACCATTTCGGCTCAAGCTCATAATTATGCACTCAAACTTGCGTCGCACATATGAAAAACTCAACACGCACAACGGTATGGGCATCTCTTCCACTCCCGATGGGGGAGCGAAAAGGGGATGCCTGGCATGAAGGGAGCGAGTGGCTCCTGAGGGAAGCGGGTCCTACACCCTGGCGGGGCCGTTCCCCTGGACCAGCGGGCCCAAGAGCCCGTTTGCCTCAGGGTCCGTTCGCCTGAGGTTCAAGGGGCCCAAGGACACACAAATAAATACACACAAATAATAGGATTCCCCATCTATTCCCATATTTGTTGGACTTTCGTCTTCCCCCCCACTTCCCATATTTTCCAATATTTTCCTGGGGATCGACAATTCATTGTGTCTGTGTGCTTTTTCCCCTCCTGGGAGGCCCAACAAAGAAACCTCAACCTCAATTTTCCTCTGGGAGCCCGCTTCCCTCGATACCCGTTTGCCTCGAGGGAGGGGTAATGATCGGGGGGCGGATCACGGGGGGAAGCACTGAGGTCAAACCGGCGATACATTGTCGACTGAGCGGCGATAGCCCCCAGATTCCGAAGCCGCACGCTCCTGGGCGGGGTGGGCTGCTATCAGGCCCCCATCGGCGACGCAAGGGGCGATCAGTCCCCCCAGCCCCGGGCATTGCCCGCGAGGAACTGGCCTCCTCAGCCTCGCGGCGAGGGTGCGGAGGCGGACTCGGCGCCCATCAAAGGGAAATCTGTGGAGCAGGGACCGACCGTCCCCGCATTCCTACAGGCCTACCGCGACATGTTCTTAGAACCCAACAGCGTCCCAAGAACACAAACCATGTTGTTAGAACGTATCCCCGACGCGTGATCAAACAAGACAGGCTCCGCGCGACATGTGCTAAGAACATTTCGGGCAGACCACAAAAGGCTCTCAGAACATTGTTTGGTACGCCTACGGGCACGCCAGGACGAGCAGGAGGAGGAGGAGGAGGAGGAGGAGGAGGAGGAGGAGGAGGAGGAGGAGGAGGAGAGGAGGAGGAGGAGGAGGGGGAGGAGGAGGAGGAGGAGGAGGAGGGGGAGGGGGAGGGGGAGGAGGAGGGGGAGGAGGAGGGGAGGAGGAGGAGGAGGAGGAGGAGGAGGAGGAGGAGGAGGAGGAGGAGGAGGAGGAGGAGGAGGAGGAAGAGGAGGAGGAGGGGTAGGGGGAGGAGGAGGAGGAGGAGAAGGCAATAGGCACGCCAGGACGCTTCGCAACTGCTTGGATCAAAGAGGAAATGTGTGAGCCCCAAGGACGGGCTCCGTCCCCGCCTGGCCCGCGACGGGGCACCACCCTTAAGTCGGGCGTATCCCCCTACAAGGGGATTCTCGACGAAAAATAAAGAATAGCCAAACAATACGCAAAAGATGCCCAAAAATAGTCAACAAATCGTCCCCAGACTATGTTTTAACTATTTTTGAATACCCCTTCTGTAGAAGGACAGGCCTGACTTACACCACCCGAACAGAACGCTCATCGTTGGAATCGGTCTGAACCTGAATCTTGGCAGCTTTGCCAAGGGCACGGGCACGCTCCTCCAGAGGGGCCCTGGGACACACGAGTAAACACACACAAATCCCAGGATTCCCTACACTTTCCCATATTTTCTTGGCTTTTTGTCCCCCCCCACTTCCCATATCTTCCCATATCTTCAGGGGAATCGACGACTAATTGTGTCTGTGTTTTTTCTCCTCCTGACCAAAGCATTGGCAGAAGTCCGCCTGGCAGAGACTGGCGCGTTGAAAAACGCCCGGGGCAGAGACGCCCCTCGCGGACCTCGCGCCGGGCCCTCACCTCCTGGAGTCACCCCCAGACGGCCCCCCAACAACTCCCGCACCCCCCGCCCAGGACATCGGCGAATGCCCACGTTGAGCGCCTTGTCAGGGTGCACCGGCCTGGCGATCGCCTCAGAATTCTTGTTGCCCGCGCCTCCGACCAGGACAACTCCCGTCATCGACGCCAACCTCGACGATTATTGCTACGACACCATCTTCAGCGACATCAGGACCGATACCAGCACCTTCTCCAGTATCGATGTCAACACCTGTGTCCGCAGCGACGCCAGCACCGACTCCTGCAGCGACGTCAGCACTCGCACCAGCACAGCCTCCAGCATTGACCCAAACATCGACGCCTGCAGCGGCACCAACATCGAGGTCAGCACCACTACCAGTGCTACCACCAGCACCGACGCCAATACCGACACCGGCAACGCCGCCAGCACCAGCGCCGACACCGATGTGAGCACCGATGCCAACAAAGCATTAAGCACCGACACCAACAACGATGCCTGCAGGGACTGCAACATCCACGCCTGCATCGAGGTCTTCACCGACGACACCAGAGCCCCCAGCATCGACGCCAAAACCGACGCCTGCGGCCACGCCAGCGCGGACACCAGCACGCCCTCCAGCATCGACGCCGACATCGTCGCACACAGCGATGCCAACATCGACGTCAGCACCGACGCCAGCACGGCCTCCATCATTGGTGTCAACGCCCACGCCTGCAGCGATGCCAACAAAGTCAGCACATATACTGGCACAGCAACCTGCATCGTTGCTAATAGCGACGCCTCCAGCGACGTCAGCATGGACACCTGCATCGACGACAGACGACAACACTGACGCCAGCATCGACGGAAGCATCGACGGCTCCCCGGCCGCTGCTCCTGGAGTCTGGCCACCATGCCTGAGAGAAGTGCCACGCCGACGCCTGCAACGACGTCATCATCATCTGCACCATCGCCGACTCCAGCATCGACGCTAGCCACGGCTACAGCATCGACAACAGCAACGACGTATGCCAGCCGACCGCCCCGTGTACTGATACGAGGCGTCGGACAGGCTCGCGCTGTAAGCACTGCGGGCATAATGCCCGCTTTCAGACACGTGTGGGCAGTGCCCACGACACCAAGCATGGCGTGATGACTTGGCCCTGGCGCAGACAGAGCCTCCCACCAGCATTCTCGACGTCCGTCCCAAGAGTTACCTCGAAGAGTGGTTGGATTACGTTTTCTGCAACTGACCAGTGGGCGGACCGGGCTCGCATGATGTTGGCAGCATCCAAGCTTGGAGTTGTTATTTTCCGTCTTGGAATGTCTGAGGTACTGACAGACCCCACGCCGATGGTTTCGGCCAAGCAACGTCGTGGAGACCAGTGACTTCCTTGTACTTCAATTGAGCGTCTACCCCGTAAGACAGGGTGTCGTTATTCATCTTATATCTATATGAATCGGACCATCACCGATGTCTGCAATGACGCCAGCAGCACCCGCACCGACACCACTACCGCCACCAGCGCAGCCACCAACCTCGACATCACGATCGACGTCTCCATCGGCACCAGCACTGACTCCAGCAATGACGCCGGTATCGACGACAGCACTGGAGCCAGCACCGACGCCTACATCGGCACCAGAGTTGCCCCACATCGATGCCACCATCGACGCGTGC